CATTTTTGTCCTTATGGCTATGTCAGTAATAAATTATGCATGTATTATTATTATTATTATTATGCTATGTAGTGGTATGATAATAAGTTGGAGTGGATTCCAACGTGTTATAAGCCTCAGTAGCAAGTAATGAATATCATTATAGTCCGACCCACAATAGCCTTGTAACGTTTCATGCATTTATAAAGAGATCAAGTAAAAGACATCTGATAGAAAGAAAGTTTTGACTTCTAGAGTTAAATTTTTGAATGGGCAATTCACTGTAATTGCCCTGCTCTAGTAAAATAATGATTTTATTAATAACACATTACTTTGGCAGGAGTGATGTTGATTTCCTGTTTTGTAGCTCAACGATGTTTTTAAAATTTGCTCAGAGATTGTCCTCATTTTTTATTACTTTGTCTGTAAAAGTTTGAACCAATTTTGATTCGTAATCATGCTTTGTGTACATGTACATGTATACATTAATTATTATAGAAATAGAATAAGATCTCACTGCTTTTATTATTGTCTATTTTTAATGATATGAAAAAAGAAATAAAAATCGGTCGTGATTACATAGCCAGTTTTAGAAAAAAGCATGGGCTAGCCACATGACAGGGTATTTTTTAGAAATCAACATGATTGATTATTCCTGCCATAGTATTAAGTTATTAATCAATCAATAATAAATTCAATATTTCAATAGTCAATAGTGATTCAAAAATTCAATAGTGATATGAGGTTTAGTACTTCATTATAATTTTACCTTTTAAAATTAAAATCACCTTAAAATATTCCATAAATACCCACCACTCCAATAACAATAAACATAAAAAGGTTATTAACAGTATTTGAGTATACAGTTTGAGGTTACAAACCTCAGTAGCAACTAACATGTAATGAATATCATTATAGTCCGACCCACGATGGCCTTGTAACGTTTTATGCATTTATAAAGAGACTCAATGTCATAACAAAATACATGTACATGTAGTCATTGAGATACATGTTGTAGATACACGGAAAAAATTTTTGAATGGGCAATTCACTGCAATTGCCCTGCTCTATTAAAATAATAAATTTATTGATAAACATACTACCGTATAGCGCTTTAATTTTGCGGAGCTAAAATTTTGCGGATTGATAAGATTCAATTTTTCGCGGAAATAACTTTTGCAGATTTGCAATGTTGGTGCCACACCTTTAATGGCGATTGAAATTTTAGCGGATCTTTAATTTCGCGGTTTCATGCTAACCACGAAAATAGCGAAAGTTTAGCTCCTTGAAAATAAAGTGCTATACGGTATGGCAGGATTTTTTTCAAAATTGGCTCCATGATCATTCCAAATTTTTATTACTTCTTGTACATATTGATGTAAAAGTCTGAGCCAATTCTGATTCATCGTGTACATGTACATGTATGCATTAATTATTATAGAAATTGAATATCTAACTGCTTTTATTTTTATTATTCATTTTAAATTTTTTATGCGTTTTTAATTTTGCGGTTTACATTACATACAGTCTGAGGTTACAAACCTCAGTAGCCACTAACAAGTAATGAATGTCATTATAGTCCGACCCACGATAGCCTTGTAACGTTTTATGCCTTTATAAAGAGACCAAGGGAGCATTGGAGTGTTACTGTAGTTAGAGGTTTTAAAAAAATTTTTGAATGGGCAATTCACTACAATTGCCCTGCTTTAATAAAAAATATTGAATTTATTATTGATTGATTAATAATATTATACTATGACAGGAATAATCAATCATGTTGATATCTAAAAAATACCCTGTCATGTGGCTAGTCCATGCTTTTTTCTAAAATTGTCTATGTAATCACGACCGATTTTTATGTCTTTTTTTTCACATATTGATGTAGACAGTTTGAGCCCATCCTGATTCATAATCATGTGTCTTATTAGTAGTTATAATAATAAGTGGAAGTACATGTAATTCATTCCAACAACATGTTACAAGCCTCAGTAACAAGTAATGAATATCATTATGGTCCGACCCACAATAGCCTGGTAACATTTTATGCATTTATAAAGAGATCAAGTAAAGGGCATCTGTGTATAAATTTTTTTGTCTTGGGATGCTAAGTTAAAATTTTTGAATGGGCAATTCACTGCAATTGCCCTGCCCTAATGAACCCTGTTTTGTAACTTAAGGATTTTTTCAGAATTTGCTCTGAGATCATCCTCAGTTTTTATTACTTTTTTGTAAAAGTTTGAGCGATTGTGATTCATAATCATGCATCGTGTACTTTACATGTATACATTAATTATTATAGAAATAGAATAGCTCATTACCTTTATTATTATTATTATTTATTCTAAATTTTTTTTACACTTTTTTAATTTTACAGTTTACATGTAAGGCGTACTAACTTCATTTACAAATGTATAACTAACAAACGAATTAACTCATTTTTAATTTTACTTTTTCTCTTTTATCGTCAAATTAAAATCACCTAAAAAATATTCCACGCTAATTATAATATATATCTTTCTCTTTCAGTTCCCTAAGATGCTAGACCTGGAGCCATACACTGCTGAAGGTATTACGAGCCGTGAGAAAGGCCTAGGCCCCTCCTCTCCATTAATATATAACCTGACTGGGATAATAGTACACCAGGGACAAGCTTCAGCTGGTCACTATTACGCATTCATTAAAACAAAGGGGTGAGTAAAGGGTTAAATATACCTTGCGTCTTAATAAAATATGACATTTATGTAGCATAATAAAGTACTGCCAAGCTACTGTATTCTTATGACTTTACATGGGTAATTCATTTCACTTGAGATTTTTATTATAGGAAAAATACTTTTATGAAAGCCACACCCTTGTTACACAAAGCCACGCCCACAATACCTGAGGAGGAAGAGATGGAGACTATACAGCTGCACCCACTCCAGGAGGAGGAGAAGGAGGAGGAGCAATGGCTCAAGTTTAATGATACTTTAGTGGAGCGATTCATCATTGATGAGTTCACGCTGGAGACTGAGTGTTTTGGAGGCAGTGTTAGGAGCAACTCCTCTGATCCAGGTTAGAATAATTATTACTGTAATTTAATATTTGTATTGGTTTTTGTTGGGTTTTCTGATATATGTTGATGTACTTATGCTGTGTAGAAAGTTTGAGCTGATTCTGGCTTAAATTTTTTAAGTTACGGCCATTTTTATAAATCGGCCAATTTCTGAAAAATTCCCTGTACTATAGCCCATGGTTTTTTCCGAAAAATGGCTCTGAAATGACCCCCAATTTTTATTACATTTTCTGATACATATTGATGTACTTATGCTATGTAGAAAGTTTGAGCTGATTCCGACTTCAATTTTTCAAGTTACGGCCATTTTTAAAAATCGCTCAATTTCTGGAAAAATCCCTGTACTATAGCCCATGGTTTTTTCAGAAAAATGGCTGAAAAATGACCCCCAATTTTTATTACATTTTCTGATGCATATTGATATACTTATGCTGTGTAGAAAGTTTGAGTTGATTCCAACTTAAATTTTTCAAGTTACAGCCATTTTAAAAAATCGGCCAATTTCTGAAAAATTCCCTGTACTTATAGCCCATGTGTTATTCTCCTTATTTTTATTTAGTTCACACGTCCCATCCAGAGAGTAGAGTGAGGCACTGGAATGCTTACATGTTGTTTTATGAGGCAGCGAATGAAATCAAGAAAACACAAGACACTCGTAAAGAACAGGACAGGTAAACTTACATGTATATCTACATTCACACTAGCATGTACCGTATTTGCTCGATTAAACGCCCAAGTGTTTATTTCTTAACAGGAAAAAAAATTAGGTTAAAAAACAAAAAAGCCTCTAGTGGATTTGAACCCGCAACCTTCTAGCATTCCAAACTGTACTCCAACAGTTAGACTATCTGGCACAATCTAAATATTAGGAGACATATACTGGGTAAAATATGCGTATCTATAGTTAGAAAATATTTGTCATGGGCGTTTATTTAAGCAGGGCGTTTGTTCAAGCAAATACGGTAATTTTACAGTAGTATAAGCAAAAATTTAATCAATTTATTGTCTTTTACACACTTCCTCATGTCATTAATTTGTGTATTGTTATTAATACTTTATTTATTATTTATTTTCATTAGTCCAGTGACTGTTGTACCAACAATGTCCAGTGAAGATAATTTGAGTCAGTTACAAGAGCTGGTCACAAAAGGAGAGAAAAGAGGAGTCTTTAATGACAACATTCCCTCCACCATACAGAGAAGTGTAAGAGAGAGAGAAGGGGAGAGAGAGAGAGGGGGGGGGGTAAGCAGGGTTTCTCTATAATATTTTGGAAGCTTCAAATTTGACCAAACATCCCATACTATAAGCACAGGGTGTTCGTCAAAAAAATTTTATGAGAGAATTCTTAATTTTATAATTTTTTTCCGATTTAAGTTGGTTTGCAAAATAGTACTTGTACAATTTATTATTTATTTTATTTTTATTTATTTATTTATTATTCATGTCACAGGTGAACACAGAGAATCTTCACTTCATGCAGAACCGGGACGTGTACTGTAGAGAATATTTTGAATTCATTAGGAACCTCACATTCTGCAATGACGTAAGCCAAAAGAGAGAGAGAGAATGAAGACTGTTTTAAATATGTACATGTACATGCATATACATGTATATACATAATGTACATGTATATGTACATGTACACACTGTTAGATCTATAAATCAATTTTGGGACGCCAATATGCATGTAACTAAAAATGAGAGATTTTAGAAGATCTAGACCAAATATGAGAAACCAAAAGTCTCCTAAACTGCCTCTAGATCTTACAGTGTACATGTACATGCGTACAGTCCGATATGTGTAGATCGATTGTTTTACATGTACATGTACTTGTACTTGTATGTTTGTTGATACCATAGCACATTAAACGTATGTAATCCCATGTTATCAAACATCAAGTGTAGCAGTGTGGCATCTTTTAATAAGTTACGAGTTATACTGACCACTTTTAATACAATTTACTAATCAATGTATATACGTCATTGAACATGAAAGTATACTAATAACAATATTAAGTTAGGGTGTGTTATATTGAGTTAGAATATATTCTATTACTGTAGTATTTGTCATGTCATGCTTCATCATATAAACATGTCGTGTAGGTACTTGCATTGTTAGTCATTGTTCTATTGTCCTCTTTAATTGTTGTTGACATCAATTGTTTATTGTTATTGTCCTGTTTCTTGTTTTTGTTCTCATACCTAGTGACGTTTTCCGACCTTGTTTTTAATTTTAATTTTATTAAATTAGAGCTCTTCTCTTAACAGTTTCCAACATTTGCGTACCTTCAAAAGTCTTATAACATTTTTATTTTAATTAATTTTGTTTCCTTTTTTTATTTTTAGTCGTTGGCCAATGTGTCTCTTGATCCTAGCGGCAAAGAGTGTGGGCGTGTCATTGTTGAACTAGCGACAAAATTTTTATTATTTACATTCTTGAGGACTTACAAGGAGCTAAGGTAAAGAGAGAGAGAGAGAGAGAGAGAGAGAG